TTTTTTGAAAAATTAAAAAAAAAAAAAAAAAAAAAAAAAACAACTTAACCGCATTGTAGAGTTACTTCATATTTGGAATGATGTTTCGGAAGTACGTTAAAGCTAAAAGCCGCGACAAAGCTGGCACAAGATTCACAAGCTACAATTATTTGTTTCTCTGAAATGTGGATCAAATTAATTTTACATATTAAGTTTGCACAAGCTATAATTTTGGGTTTTAGGCATGTCTTCTAATAGATATTAACTCAATACCACATTCAAATTAGTGTGCAAACCATATCTAAAGTATAGCAGGCTTTTAGTTCTGGTGATTTATTTATCTAAATGTCTTGATTTTAAAAATTTATATATAATATATCTTTTTTAAATTTTTTTAACTCACGTATGAAACTTATTATCTAATAATTAACAAGTATTCCAGTGTGAAGTGATGTTAGAGCATCTCTATTTTAATATACTACCTTTTTTTTATTACTTTTTACTTATCTTAAATCAGTTGTAGTTGTACTATTGCGTATCATTAATTTTGTCTTTTTACAACTTAAACAAGTTTCATCTCCAATTTAGTAAACTTAAAATGTTTACTGGCTAAATGAAACAAAATAATCTAAAATTCTTACATTTAATCATGTCGATTTTTATTGGTTATTCTTTTAATACTATTGTGATGTTATTGAGAGAGAGAAAAAATGGAGGTGTATTTATCCTCTGGTGCTTGAAAGGTGGTTAATAAGCTAAAGTTCCCGTAGCAAAGTCTTATTAAACATAGATACTTAATAAGAGAAATGAATATAAGTGGGCCTAGGAGTTAAAAATCGCGGCCCGCATAAATCAAGCAGGCCTAGCCCTCCTATGACAAAAGTGGGAAAGTGGAAAGTGGTGTATACTCTCACTTTGGACCACCTCCAAATTTCGTGAGAAACCCATGGGCCTTTTCTGCGATGCATAGTTCATTACTCTTTTTATTTTGGTCCAGTGAGTAGTGACAGTTCACTTCTAAGCAACATTATAGTACTTCTAGGACCCTAGGACTACGACGTTCCATGAGAAGGCTCAGCCTCGTCTTTTTTAATTTTCATCCTTCAAATTAAAATAGATTCTACAAGAATATCACAGTAGGTTAAATTTTATCATTTCTACTAACCACGACTTGTGTTAAAATGTAGATAACTGGTTTATAATTTCATTGTAAATATTAATAATTGACTCTAATTTTACATAAAATTATATTTTTAAATATGAATTTTTAAT